AGTTGACCGTCGTTAAAGATGTTAGCGCGACTTCAACGTGGCTAAATTTCAATATTCTCATCATTTCTGTCGAGAGATTTTTTAAATAACAATTATATTACTCGGTCCTTAATTATTTCTACAAATGCCAAATTACTCTTACGATCTCATTCAATTAAAGTGTCTTAAATCAAAGGCCGAAGTTAAGCAACGTCGAGCCTGGTCAGTACCTAGATGAATGGATGCTTGGGAATACCATGTGCTGTAAGTTTGGATAAGCGGGGAGTGTAATGGATAATAGCTCGGAATTGTTAATCGTAGTGCCGAGTTCCAATTCCGGTTGAGTCCGTTATGTTAACTTACACGCAAAATACGCTCGGGAAAGGTCTGATTCTACCCCTTCTTCCTCCTAGCTATGGGTTAATTAATGGAACTTGCATCAATATCATTATTATATCTAAATTGTTACAATCTAAATATTTTCTGAATTTAAGTAATCTTCAAAAGGTTGATAAACCGTAAAAAAACAAATTCATCAATCTGACCAGAAATCGATGCCAGGAGGTGTTGCTGCATTTCTTAAACAATACCAGGCTCATCAATACCTAAACAGTTTCCTCGACAATGTCTTTGCCATATCAGTGAATTGTTTGCTCTAAAGCAAATACTGAAATTGGTACATTAGTGTATACGCACACATACTTAAACACACTTACACAAACATCGATAAACGCACGTCTTCTCTGATACATAAACATGTGCGCCTTATCAAAATTCTGACTAAATTTAAAATTCAGTCTTAATCTGCTAGAGAACATTTAAACAGACCCTCTTAGAAAAGGTATGAATCCTCTTTTTTTTCTACCCCTCTCCTCCTTCAATGTATCACTAAATCATTATTATCCCCCAAATATCTTACAATCTAAAATATTTTCTGGCTTTAAATAACCTGCAAGTGGTTGATAAGCCATAAAAAGAACGAATAAAAATGACTACCAAAATCGCTGAAATGTTGTCAATGTTGGTGGAGGAAACATTCCTTAATTATTCAAGTCTTCAAGTGTCTTTGTCATACTCATCGCGCTTGGCCAATTGTTGATTCATGAGGCTATTTAACCTGTTATTGGAGGTTTTGACTTTAGATTAGTACTTCTGATAGACCGCTTGCCACCCAAAGCTATAGGACTCACTCACTCTTGCTTTTTTTTAATCCATAGAGAGAATAGATTCACATCTTTCCCAAAGGTATTTGCACCTAAATGAATGTAACACACTCGAAAGGAATTGGAACTCAGCTCTCCGATTCGTCCATCCGAGTCGCTATTCATACTCGATAACCTACATGTTATTCTGGACTGAACCCCTTATTTAATCTACGAGGGTAGATTGTTCTCGTTCCACTTTTCATGTCTACAGATATCGTATGGTTCTTATTTTTATTTAATACTGTTTGCATGTTTCTACTGAATGCAAATAGACACTTGGAGTCTTAAACCTAAGCTGCCTGCTGGTTAGAGTTAAAATTGCTGCTGTCATGTTTAGACTGCTGTTTCTGCTGCCCATGATTTGAGTGCTACTGATGCTGCAGCAGAAAGCTTGCTGACATTTGTCTGTCTTTATTTATTAGCTGCTCATTGTATTTCTGTGCTAGGACTACTGAAGAAGTCCTTAAAGCCTAGTATGTGCCCTGATTCTTTGATTTAATTATGCCGAGGATACCATGGGCTGAACGTGTGAGCAACAACGAGGTGTTAGAGAGAAAATGGAAACAAAAAATTTATACCCAACATCAGGAAGAGGCAGCTGAAATTTCTGGGGCACGTAATAAGGAAGGACGGTTTGGAAAATCTGATACTCACAGGACAGATAGAGGGAAAGAGGGGAAGAGGAAAGCAATGCGTAACATACTTGATAGACTTAAGCAAATGGATGGCAAAACAGGGTTTGGGAGAAATAACAAAAAGACAAAACTTATTAAACACTTGAGCCCTGATCACCGCTTTACCGGTGGTAGAGAAATATGGTGTAATGCCCAGCCACCGGTTAAACAGCTAGAGAAAAATGAATTAATTCTCAGTTACCGGTTGAACAATTGGTAAACACTTGTAACTATTTTTATATCTACCGCGAAGCATTACATACCAATTATTTGCGAATTTTGACTCAGGAGCTCAGGTAGAAGGGTTAAAATTGTTCAGGAACGCGGGGCTCAAAGGGTTAAGAGGTATAAGGGCCAGGAAGACGTAGAGGGCCATGATCGCTTAAGTTCTGAAAGGACGTGGCACATAAAATAAAAATTACAAAACTATTTAACCAATTACCGCATGGCGTAAAATTTTTAGATAAGGTATTACCTAAAATTTGAAATACACCAACCCTAAGATTACCGTTAGGTAATTAGGCAAATAAATTATTATTTTTATTGGATATATGATAAAATTCTTCATCTGAGAAATTCCCGATGGCCCGAAGTGAGCTCACAACCTATAATTTTTAGACGGTTTCAAAACATAGAGAATGGCTCCAAACGTTTCACCACTAATTTTATATTAATAAGAGATGATCTAAGTAAAATGTTAGTTGCTTTACGCGAGCGCACACATAGTAAAACTCTAAAAGGCACACACACCCACTACCGTTTTGAAATTTAAAATGTGGCAAACTGATATAATGGAATATGCATACACCTGTGTTCCTCCTTACTGGAATATGATTGGCTGGTGTCCGTCATAAATACCGACGGATGTGTAGGTACGACAGAGTAAAGAGCCTTAGTCTGAGAGCTAATGACGCCCATTGGACTACGCCATTGATCTGCACTTCTTACCTGCGACTACGATACGTACCAGTCGATTACTGCTACCATATTCTACTTGGTTATTGTAGCCAAAAACACTTAGCTACTTCATTCAAATAGATCCTTTTTCGGGACATATCACAAACATTCTAGTAAAAAATTTAATACATCTTCCATTAAATCTTTGGGACTGCAGCGATTCAGTTAGAATGTTGCTAAGAAACCATAATACAACTGATACTAAAAAAGCCTCTTACTTCTGAACAGAAATATAGGAACAGGATTTCAATCTGGAAATATCTTAATAAATAAATGTTATGTATTTAATTATGAAAATGATTTAATTCTTTTTGATATTATATTTGTTTCCAGTCTCAGATTGAAAAGAAAATAACCAAAAAAGGTTCCTAAATATTTTCTGCCTTTATTGGACCGGTTCCTGGAAATTTAAGATACCCCCCGCCCAACTGTTTCAGTAGAGTACATCGTAAAACTGAGAAATTAACTATCTGGAAAAAATGTCTAGACCTAGCCATAGAACTGAAAAGAAAATTGTGAAATATTAACAGAGACAGCACTAACGATTATTATCAGAGCACTTGGAAGACTCGAAGAAAAAATGTTTAGAAGAATGGTGGAATCGATAAAAGAATCAGAATCATTAAGACAAAATCAATTCTGAAATTCGTTCCATTCTTCTTCTTCTTCTCCTCCTTCTCCTCCTTCTTCTTCTCCTTCTCCTCCTCCTCCGCCTTCTTCTTCTCCTTTTCCTCCTCCTCCTTCTTCTTCTCCTCCTCCTTCGCCTTCTTCTTCTTCTCTTTCTCCCCCTCCTCCTTCTCCCCTCCTCCTTCTTCTCCTCCTTCTCCTTCTTCTATTCCTCCTCCGCCTCCTCCTCCTCCTCCTCCTCCTCCTCCTCCTCCTCCTCCTCCTCCTCCTCCTCCGCCTCCTCCTCCTCCTCCCTCCGCCTTCTTCTTCTCCTTCTCCTTCTCCTTCTTATCCTTCTTCTTCTTCTATTTGCCGGATCACTTCAGGTTATTGGTGACCATGACTCTCCGCAATTTGCTGTCTTTTTAAGCTCTCAATAAATTTTGTTTTTTGTTATCTCTTTTAAACATCCATTTACTCATGTTCACTAAGTAGGATATACATTTTTTTCTCTGTCTCTCTTGCCTTCAATCTGCTTTGTGAGTATCAGATTTTCCGAGAACCCTTTTCTCATTATATGCCCTAGAAATTTCAATCATCTATTTCTGATGTCAAGTGTAAGTGTTCTTTTAGTTTCCATTCTCTCTAAGACGTCTTCCTTGCCCTTAGATTCGAATCAGTTACGGAACTGAAAAGTGTGCCCCAGGATTGAATAGACTTACTGCCACACGATCTCCAGTAAAAGCCACAAGTTACTGATAGTGCAAAATCTCAAGGAGTACAAGTAATAATATCGAAAGGTCCATTTCCAATGTCGCCTACTGTTTATAATTAAAGAATAAGGAATGAAGACGAAGATTTTCAAACACTGATCGGCTTACGTGCTCTCAGCCTGACCAATGCTTCCACAATCTTGGCTCAAAGTATTCAGAACTGGATAAAATCTTTGAATCGTATGGATTCTCTGTAAGTAATGCAAACATTCAAGAAATAATAGGATTACAGTAATTGCAATGTATAAATCCAACATGACATGTCATGTGTCTTCTTTTATAGTGATGACATTTAGTCCGACGCTTCTACAAGAATAACGGGCTTAAAATCTTGTCAAATTGTGCAATATAAAAAAAGACAGTGGCAGATTCCAAATACCAACTGTAAAAACCAAAATCAAACAAGTACAAAAATTTAAATATGTGTGAAGTGTTTTAACAGGGGATGGTATATGTTAAATATGAAAGTGCATTGGAATAGCGAAAGCTAAGAAAGGTATTAAAAACGGGAAAAAGAAGCGAGTGCAGAAAACTTAGTCAATATCGCCCCTCCTATACGGAGGATAATCTTCTTAAGGATAAAGAAGACTTTTGAGGTCATGCGGTAACACAAAAGGATAATGAGAATACCAAGAACTGATCATGTGAGTAATGGGCAAGTTTTGAAGGAAAATAGAAACAAAATTGCAAATAGATGGTCAGAACTCTGACAACCCCAAATGAGTGGAGGTGGCTTGAACACCCCGAGCTTATAATTCCGACAGTGATGGATTGTCTTTATTTAAATTTTGATATAAGACCCATGCATACGGTCAAAATACGCTTAAAACGCTGGTTCTCGTTCGATCACCGCAGTTAAGCAACGTGGAGCCCAGTCAGTACTTAGATGAGAGACTGTTTGAGAAATATATTTCAGTTTTAAATAACCCATAAATTGCTGATAACCTGTAAAAATCCAAATAAAAATATAAGACGAAAACGGCGCAAAGACAGGCGGCTGTAAGAATAGAAAGTGTCAAGAGATCAAGAGGTCACACAGCGTGTGACAAGTTGTGATGGGTTGTCGGTCTACCGGGTGACATCAGTTCTCTTAATCTCACTTTCGTCCTCGTTTCTTCCTTTTCCAATTGTCAAATTTGGGGTCTTTATTCTCGATATAAAGTTGTAGCGAATTTCTACGGTTTTCCATGATACCTCAAGTCATTTCCAATGATATTTCTGTAATTGTTTCGCGTATGGCAGTCTTCATTTCGTCAGTTGTTAGTTGATGTTTGTAGAGCTGAGCTTTCAGGCAGCCTCAGAGAAAATGATCACGCAGGGAGAGATACAGGCCATCCATCGGCATCGCGTAAGGAGATCAAATGTCCCGGAAACAGCTTCACTGTAACCTGTATTGATTTTCTCGGTGTGTGCGCGCTGTCTCTACCCTGTGGAAACCGTAGACGTAAATTACCAAGTTTTGGACCCGGAGACAGTTGTAATATCTCCGCATACTGATCGGAATTTGTTGAACCCGTTCAACTTTGGTCATCGTCAAAAAAGTAAAGGCTCCAAACACCAATGTTTGTAACAGCGCATCACACTGCAACTCGTTCGCAGTGTAGAGGTCGGATCTTTTCTGTGATTTCACCCCAAATAATGTAAAGTTACTAATCGCAAATATTAATTCACCCCAAGAAATTATAAATTTTGAATGAAAGTTTTTTTTTTATTAAATTTTTGACACTCTTTTGAAATTATAAATTTTAAATCAAAAATTGTTCAGTTTGCCTCGCAACAACTTAAACCCACAGGATGAAAAATTATCAAAAATTATGGAGTTATTCACATTTCGTAAGTGTGGATGATATTTGAGGTACTTACAAGGAATTTTTACAATTTAAAACAAAAAGAAAAATAATCTATTTTGGGCTTGTTTATCAGGATGGGCGCGCGGACAATAGACCCCACACTTAGAAATCGCGCGCTGTGTCTCCCACATTTGTGGCAGTCGCAAATGTCAACCCAATCGGAGTACAATGAAAGGCCTTTCTTTGGAGATAATTTGGTGGGAATTTTAGTAAATATAAATTCTTTTTATTTTGAGGTAACTTAATATGTTAGGGTGAATTAACAGAATAGATTGTAGAAGTCTTTCATGAAGCTGTTTGTTGTTCTTCTAATTAATGCAAGCCAAACACAAAGAAATGCTGGATCACTACTTACATAAAGACACCATTGCTCTGTGCCTGTAACAAGGTGACAACATTGTTTGAAGTTTTATTGGTACATGGAAGTAGCTAACTGTGATTTTCGTGAGAGTCTAACAGGTTCAGAAAAATGCTAATTAAAGCGGGAATCAATGGGATGTTAAAATAATGAAAGAACTGTTATAATTGTTTAGAAATAATGAAAGAACGATACTGTTAATTACAAAGATATCAGGTCATCCCATAAGTTCTGTCCGAATTTTGAATAAATCAAACAAGTGACCAAATGTTACATTTAATTACAGATTCAATCAACAATGTATTTTCCCTGGTTATCTATGACTTCCTTCCATCTATTAACAAGCTTACTAATTCCATTACTGTAAAATTCTTTTGGCTTTGATTCGAAGAACTCACAAATGTCAGTTTTAACCTCTTCCTGTGTTACAAAAGCTGTTTCTTCTAAATGATTCTGTAAGCTACGAAACAAATGGTAGTCTGAAGGAGCAAGATCGGGAGAATAAAGTGGATGAGAATTTTTCTCCCAACCAAGTTCTTCGATCTCTTGTGACGTGATTCTTGCTGTATGGGGTTGCGCATTTTCCTGATGAAACATCACCCCTTTTCGATTCACTAGAGCAGGTCTTTTTTTTCCTCAAAGTTTGGTTCAAACGCTCTAATTGCTGACAGTATATTTGAGCATTAATTGTTGCATTAGGTGGTAAGGATTCAAAGTGGATTATTCCTTGGTGATCCCACCAGATTGAAAGAAGAACCTTTTGCCCTTCTTGGCTGTGGCTGGGGTCCTTCCACTTTACCAGGCCACAGTCTACGACGCTTAACATTTCGATAAAAGATCCATTTTTCGTCGCCAATCACAAGTCTATCCAAAAATGGTGAAACAAGTTGGCGAGAATGGAGAGAAGAGCAGATGTCAACTCGGGATTTGAGGTTGTTTTCAGACAAGTCATGAGGCACCCATTTTCCAAGTTTAGGAACAATTCGAAGTTATTGAAGATGACGATGAACAGGTGTATGGTTTGAACTGAGAACTACTGCCAATTCCTCAACTGATAAAGCAGGATTTTCTTTAAGGGCTGCTTCAAGAAGCTTTTCATCAAACTCAACTCGACGTCCGGTTCGATCTTTATCTTCAAGGGTGAAATCTCCACCTCTGAATTTTGCAAACCATCTTCTGCAAGTTCTTTCATTCACACATTCCTCTCCATAAACTGAGTGAATGTTTCTAGCTGCTTCGGCTGCTAAGTTTCCTTTCTTGAACTCATAAAGCATTATGTGCTTCAAATGATTCTTGGGTACTTCCATGTTAGCAGGGTTTTAATCAAATAAAATTTTATTTTATTGTTCTCTGAAATAAAATTTGATCAGTTTAAATGCATCTAAACATAAAAATAATGTTCAGCTCCATTAGACATTATAAAATACTCTTTAAATTTCGTTCATTTTAAAGTTAACTTATGGGATGACCTGATACATTGAAGATTGTAAGGAACGTTAAAATGGCTTGAAAGCGAGACTATAAATTACAACAGGAAAAAAATTCATATGAAAAAAAGAAAAATAACCATCCCGATACGATAAAATAATATATATATATATATATATATATATATATATATATATGTGTGTGTGTGTGTGTGTGTGTGTGTGTGTGTGTGTGTATTCAATATTTAAATAGGTACGCCCTGAAACAACAAAGAATTAATGATTGAATAACATTAACATATCAGGGTTTATCAATCATTTGCAGGTTATTTAAAGCCAGAAAATATTTGGGGTTGTAAGACGGTTTTGGTGATAATAATGACTTACTGATGCAAGCCTTACTATTTAATCCATACCTAGGGACGAAGTGCATTCATACCTTTCCCAAGGGTATTGCGCGTAAGCGAAAATAAAGAACCCGACTGGAATTGGAATTCGACTTATTGATGTCCAATTCCGAGCCTTTAACCGTTACACCACTCGCCCATCCAAGCGCCTAGTATTCCCAAGCGATCATCCATCAAGGTACTGACAGGCTTGTCGTTGCTTAACTTCGGAGGAGAAATGGTTTTTCAACGTCATATGGCCATAAGCTAACATGGAATTAAAACAGGAAATTAGATCAAGCCATTCTCCTGAAAGAAATTTGTGACTGGATTTCATTTCTTCTGTTTCTTTTCTTAAAAACTGAATAGAAATTGAAATGACAACCCTGGTCTGACAAGGAAAGCGAAAATTCAGATTCGTAACAAAAGAAATTTTTGCAAATCTAGAAATACCTGACAGATCAAAGTTCAAAGTCGGTGTCCTATATCTCTTACAATTAGCAGCAAAGGCAGACCAAATTTGGGTTTCACGGTGTCTAGATCGTTGACAGAAAGAATAGAGTCCAGTAGTTCATCACCGAGAATCGGTAAAATCCAAAGAATCAGGGATAGTTGAGGGCATTTTTCAGTGCAGCCACGTCGCTACCGAATGTGACACAAAGTCGAAGTTTAATATTGGTTTACCGGCAAAAAAGTTTAATGTTGGTTTTACCGTGAAAAAAATTTGCTCATCCGCCCTTGGCACTTCCCCTTTTGGGGACATTTCAGGCGCCGGTTAATGAGCAAAGCCACCTCCGGGAGGAGGGATAGGTGCGGGGATGGCCCAGCCTAAATGACCGAAGGCTGAATCAGGGGTATCTGACTGTTGCAGTATATGTTGATAATACGAGAGATTAATTACTCGACTCCTCAGTGGGGCAAGTCTATGGCCCCAATATCACACAGGCATCGATATTCCACCGATCGACCCTCTTTTACTGCAATGAATGAGGTGGTGCCGCTGGAGTGGAATCCTGGAGGCCAGGAGTCTTCTCCTTTTTAAAAAAGGAAGAACAGATACTACGCATTTATTCCGGCTCCAAGGTTAAGAAGCATTATTTACCTGAGCTCACCCACTAAAGCAAGATATGACACAAGGTCATTTTTATGTGGTTTTACTAAAACCACACTAATAGCCGCGGAAATATTGGAAGGTTTTATTGCCACACCCTGTATCTAATACTAAGCGTAGTTTAGTATAGCAATAGCTGGCCAGTCGTATCCGACTATGCTTGTCGACTAGGTCGGCTAGCCAATCCTGTTGCAGACACCTGCTCAGACACATTTGAGAGCCCTTTTGTTGTTTATACTGTAACTATGCTACGTGGATCTTAGTTACAGTTTATGGGAGAGAGCACATTATCTGGTGAAGTCAACAGACTGAACAAAGCCAGTACGCTAAAACCCTCGGTCACGATGACTTGCCGACGATTCCCAAATAGTTCCGTCTACCCAATTTCACCCACAAGGCTTTGGTTTTCAGGCACTTTCAAAAAGTGCCGCATACTGAGATCGCTTCCCTCATGCCAATAGCATCAAGAAGTCACCTTCTTTATAAATCGATTATGGTGAGTTTCGAAACCGGTTATGTTCAGTAAGTGAACGTTCTAATCCCGTGTTTCCCAAAGTGGGGGCGAATGACCCACAGGGAGCAATTTGATTTTGAAGGGGAGTTAATTTGTGAATGAGTTATTAGCAATGAATTATTTTCTAGTGAGTCTGTGTAAATATGAGTGTACGAATTAAGACATACGGCCATCACTGAAACTGTCTACCAAGCTCTTCAAAATAACGGGGAAGCTTGTGCCGTGGCCCTAGACATCTTCAAAGTGTTTGATAGGGTTT